TTGCAGTGCCCCTCGCTCCCCAGCCCCTCCAGCAGGAGGCCACGTGCCTGCGTTTCCAGGCTGCTGACGAGCCAAGAAGAAGTCACCTTCACCTCCGACGGGAGGAGATGCTGTGTCTCCAGGGCAGGTGGGTTGTCCCAGCGGGCAGCAGCCGCAGGGAAGGTACCCTTCCGCAGCTGGCAGAAGCTCCGTGCGTATGATGCTCTAAAAATTCCCACTGTTACTCATTGCACTCTACGACGATGTGGTGACCGTAGCTTCAATGTGTTGCTCACGCTAATGACGGGCTGAGCACCCCCAAGCCTGGGGCTTCCTACCCGTCCCAGACCTCTTCTCAGCCCAGGGAGCAAAGCCCGGTGCCAGCACAGGCAAAGCTCATCTCACCTCATCCTGCATGGGAGCGGCTCCAGCAACAGGCGATGCCTTTGGGTGATGTGTAGCTGTGCAGTGACAGGCTTGTAGCCGTCAAGGTGTCCTGCCCTTGCTGCAGCGAGTTTCACAGACACTGGATTTTCTCCTGGGATTTTAATCACTCCCATTTTGTGGGACTCGCGTGGGCATTAAAGAGGGACGAAGTGCTGAAAGGAAATCACCGGTTTAACATTTACCAAAAGGGGATCAGGCAGACTGGCTGCAACACACGCCCTACGCTATGTCTTTTTTTTTTTTTAATTTAACAAGTCTGTTTTCATAAAGGGCCTCTATAATAGCCATCTCTGCCCCTGCGACGTCCCCCAGTTTGATGGCTTTCTGAGCAGACCCAGTTGTGCTCTGGGAGGAGACTTCGTCCAGGTAGGGCGGGCAGTGCTGGACATCCGTAAGGACAAGCCCAGCACTGCTGGGTCCCTGGCACTGAGGAGGAGGAGGATGTTCAGGGTGACAACGTGTTGTAACAGCCCTGTGGGAGAAGCGTCTTCCTTTCCAGTTCTTATGAAATGCTATCCTTTTCCTGAAAGTCCATATCTCAGTATTATCCTGGGATTATTATTTCCACCTCGTTCTGTTTTCCTGTTACCTGCTTGCCACAGGCTCTCCTGAGTCCTCCAGCATCCGCGACAGCAACAAGTACAGCAGGGCAACGGCATTATGCACAAATAATTTCCCGTCGCCGCCTTCCAGCACGTCCCTTTGTTCTAATTGCCTGTTACCTTGTTTTTGAACTACGAGGAGAGTAACAGCATCCTGTTGGTTTTCCCTACGCAACTTATTTTTTGATCCTTTTTATCATGTTGCTACTTTTCTGCTCAAACTAGCAGAGAGATTTTTGATTCCCCGTTTTTCCCCTCTCTTGGCTCCATAGTTTGGCAAATCATTCCGGCATGGACGAATAGGTTTCCGGTGACTATAAAAATATTTCCTGGAGGTGTTTGCTTTCTCCATTTCTAGCAAAATTTCAAAAAGGAACTTTTTAATTAAGGATTAGTACCAGAGTTTCTGCTGTCTCTTCCTTCCTTCAAAGAGGATAGATTTTTAAAAATGATGAGTAGTGGGGAGAAAAAGCCCAAGTGTGCTTCCTTTTCCCCTCCTCTTCTTTCCAGTGGCAAAAGGCTCTTTGGGTGACGTTTTCCTTCTTTCTGCTCAGGACTTTCGCTCTCCGTTGTGGGTACAGGCACGCTGCCAGCGCCGCCCGTCCTGGTTCGGTCCCGCGGTCTTGAGGTCCCCCGTTTTCCCGGTACGTGCGGCTGAGCGCCTTTCCCGGGGGAAGGGGAAGGGAGAGCTAGGAAGCGTTCCTGCGTCCCTCTCTTCAGCCACAGCCGGCGCAGCCCGGACCGGCGCGCTCCTGCCGGCACGGCACCGTCCTGCTCCCAGCCTTCGCGCGACTCGCCGGCTTCCTCGCGGAGCAGGGGGGACACTGCAGCAAAACGCTAGGCTTTGTCCTCTGGTGCCAGGATCCGGACACGAGTGATGGAGTAGGTGCAGGGCTGGAAGAGGCCGAGCGAGCATTCCGATAGACTAAGCACACCGTGCGAAGCGGTTTTTGACATTCAAGCGAGGCCAAGCTGGCATGGAACTTTCCATTACAGTGCTTTGTTTTGCTGAAGGAAAATGTTACTCCTGTGCAATCAAAAACTTCCAGAGGAGACAGATCAGTTTCTCTTTTTATCTTCAGGAGCACCTGACTGGAATATTTTGAGTCAGATGCAGCGATTTCTGTTGAAATGATCACCTTGGGACAGCACAGCCCCACAGTCAGCTCACTGTGAAATCATTCTGCTCTCACAAATCTTGCTATGAATACGCTCGTCTCTCCAGGGACGGGCTTGGTGACATCTCTTTACAGAGAAAAGAGTGTCTGAGGAGTCTGTGCCCAGGTCTTGCATGAAATATGGACCAGGCATTAGCCAGGCAGTCCCACCTCCCCCTCTCTTATGACTCCTCAGGACACGATCTCAGCCACCCACGCATCGTCTGTGGGTCCTGCGGAGGGAATGCGCGCGAGAGCTACAGCTCTGAGAAGCGGCCAACCACAACTGGGTCGTACACGGAGCCAAGGCTCACGCAGACGCTGCCCGCTGTAAAGCGGAGTCAGCTTTGTCGCGCGCTGCCAGCCGCAGCCCCAGTCCACAGAGGAGACGGTAAATTCATGGTACAAGATCTGGGGAAGGCACCTGCGATAGAGGATGATGCCATCTTCCCTACTTCCAAGTAAACCCCTGCTCAGCAGCACGAAAGTCGTATTTGCGAATCACTCACTTCCTTTTCTTCTTCCTAACAACAAGGTTTTGGCTTGTTTGAACAAGGCTTTGATTTCCCAGTCATAGAGCCTGCTGAGGTTCTGGGCATAGACCTGGAAAGACAAGACAGACACAGAAATTCCTGGTGTATCTCATCTCTCTATGAACAGTGCCCATTTCCTAGCTTTTTCTTCAGCTGCCTACTTAAAACAAGTCAGCAGACAGCAACTGAAACAGACTTATTGGTTTTGGTGTGTAAGACCTTCGGAAAGGCAGAAACCAGCATGAAAAAGAGAAACCATGCCTGAGTGGTATAAAAAGAACAGTCTCAGTTACTTAACAACATCCCTATTAACAGAGGAGGCCAAGGACTTTAAGGTGCTCCTTCCCTAGAACCCCTTAAATTAAGTGTTGAATAAAATACGACATTAACCACATTCATTTAATGCTTATCACTCTCAGCTTATCACTCTCACTTAGTAATGAAAGGGCCAGATTAAAGCAAAAAAGACCAAATTTTAGCATTTCAGACATTTTCCTTCAGCACAATGTCTGCCACCGAGTCCCAGACTGCTTTCTGTCAAGCACAGAGGTCCAACATCATGCAGCCAAGTGGCCAGACACTCTCCTAGAAGGGCTGGAAGCTCATGGGAGGTATGAGTTTGGTGAAACCAAGCTCTCATCACTAATTAACCAGTTTGACTAATCTGTTCATGGTGGTTGGCTTGCAGTATTTGTTCAGGACTTCAGCCGTACCTTGAGAAGATCACAGAACGTAACGGGGTTGGCCTTCCTCAGCCAGGCCATGAGCGGGGCATAGGGCACCAGTTCCTCATGGTGGAGTCCATGGCTCGGTGCTGATAGCTCGTCAGCGGGCTGACCAAAAGCAGGGACAGCATTACCCTGAAGCAACAGAAACAGCTGAAAGAGTCAAATAAAACGCGGCCTTGAAAAGCCCTGGATAACAGTTCCTTCATAATTGCCCTTGAATTTCCAGTTCTGAATACGTTTGAGAAGCACATTTAAAGGGTGAAGCAGAGCACGCATGATCAGTTTGAACTCTAGTTTTGATAGACACAGAATTGTGCTGGATTTCTTCTGCATGCCTGCAAAACTAACCAGAGGGCTGGGGGGGACACCGGCAGGGTGAAGGTATGGGAGAAGACCTCGCTGGGGAGACACATTTGGAGAATCCTTTTACAGCAGCATCCCCTATACCACTGGTACTATTTTACCAGAATACTCAAATTTCCTAGGATTTTGAGCTGCCACGTGAAGAGCGAAGCCCACCTGCAGCTTGAAGATGCTCTTAATGTGACGGATGAAAGAGTTTTCGAAGTTCTGCTTGAGTGTTTCAAACATGATCAGCTGTTCAGCAACAGCCTGAAGTTTCCGGTAACCTTGAGGAAAAAAAGGAGAGGGTGTTGTGGTATGGAGCGGCACAGGCTGTTACGGCTGCAGCCGAACCTCGCTCAGCACACTGGCAAATAAGATGGCACTTCAGGACATGGTTTAGTGGGCATGGTGGTGTTGGGTTAATGGTTGGACTTGATGATCTCGGAGGTCTTTTCCAACCTTAATGATTCTGTGATTCAAGGAGTAAGTTCTGGGAGAAATACTACCACCCAAAAGCCAGCAGAGGGAAAAAGATTTGCTGTGGTACCAAGCAAATAGAGACAGGGAGGGAGCTTAAAGTAAAAAAAAAAAAAAAAAAAATTGCAAAGCATTCATCAGTCAGACCATGGCCGAGGACAAACGCCCAGTCTCTTCACAAGGAAAGCGTGGGGTTTCATGCCAGGATCGAGTGTCTGAACACCGACGGCTCTCCAACACCACCCACAGTAGACACTGCTACAACAAATGGTCATTTTTCCATGTTCAAGTACAGACAGTTGGGTTGCCTCAAGAGACCACAATTTCTAAATGCATCTTTCCACCAGTTCCTTTCCGAAATGTAAGGGGTGCAGGACGCAGATGGCAGACAACAGTGCCTTACATCCAGGTATTTAGAGGAACTGTAGAGATGCTTGCCATAAATTTGCTTCAACTTTAACGTAAACTGGACCAGCTGATGCCTGAGGAGAGGTGCTTGCAGCCCTGCCTGTGGTGTGTGGATGCCCCGGCTTGGCCGTTTTGCAGCACGAATTGCATTTTTCTAGGAATGGAGCCAATTCCCCCCCAGGTACTTTCCTCCATGGATGTTCAGAGGCCACGGTACGTTGGCTTTCCCAGCCCTGCTTGGCTGCGCTGCTGGGTGAAGTTGCTGAAGGCTTTGAAACCTCCGGCAATATCTCCAGAAGAAAGCCGACGCGGCAACCCTGTTTCCCCCAGCTCGCAGCTCCGGGTGCGCTGCAGGGAAATAGTGTTTTTAGCTCTGCAGCTCACACCCCAGGACCCCCCGGGTCTGTGCTGCTGCTTAGCTTCCCAAATGCGTGCCTGCGTTCTATCTCTTACCCGCCTTGCCCAGGCAGCATGTAATGGTGCTGGGTGTGCAGCACAGGCTGCGGGTGAGCCGGCGGCGTAAATCTCTGCTCTCTACTCACCGGGCTGTATCTGGATGTTCATGCAGCCAGACAAAGCCTCTGCTGCAGCAATGCAGGCTTCCACTCCCCTGGGGCTGGAAAGATCTGCCGAGCTCAAGGCATCACAGTGTTCCCCGCTGAGGTCGAGGCGGCTCTGGAAACAAAACCAGAGAAGAACAGGTAGAAACACACCCAGCTCCTCATCCCTTCGCATCCCATCTGGACTGGCTGCTGGCTTGAAATAGCCCAGTGCTGCACGTGTCCGTCAGGAAGACCGTGCTGCTCCATCCCCACCAAAAACAACGGTCTGCAGAGCGGCGACTGCCGCGGT